GATGGTCTCTTTTCAGTGGTGGGCACTGATAGGACTAGAGGAAATGGCCGAAAACTGTAACATCAAAAATTCCATAGGAACTTAAGGAGAAATTTCTTCCCAGTGAGGGTGACAGAGCACTGGAACAGGCTGCCCAGAGAGGTTGTGGAGTCTCCTTCTCTGGAGATCTTCAAAACCCGCTTGGATGCAGTCCTGTGCCACGTGCTCTAGGTGACCCTGTGTGTGCAGGGGGGTTGGACTACATGTCCTCTAGAGGTCCCTTCCTACCTTAAACATTCTACGATTCTATGATCAGAACCACCATCAAATTATTAAAGGTTTTGGGGGGGGGTTGGTTGTTGTCTTTTAAGAAAGCAAAAACATGAAGTAAGGTAGACATCACGGAAAAAGTGAGTTTCATCGTCCATGCCCCACAGCAAGAGAAGTGGTGTTCTGTGGGGCCGACATGGACAGCTTTTGCAGAGGAGCAGCAGTAAGAGTCAGCCTTCAGCTGCGAGGGAGCCCTATCCCCGCACTAGTGGTGGGCTGCAGAGGCAGATGGGAACTCCCAAAACATTAGTAGTGACAATGAGAAGCTGGGACAGTAAATCCGCCCCCAACCCCTTGCTGGCCCTCACCTGCCTTTACACTGCATGGCCCAGCCTGCCTGAGGAGAGCAGCGCTGCTGCATTTCACGCAGTAGCGTCTCCTCCAGCGCAGGACTGGTTGAGTAACAAGAAGGGCTCAGCCCCTCCCTGACTCAGCTGGCTACCCCTTGCAGCACGTGTGAGTGCCCTTCCCTTCCCACGCCACCCGGCACAACGGAGCCCATACAACCGGAGGGGACACGGCTGCCAAGGCAGAGGACAGCCACAACGGTGCTCAGTATCTAACATCACCCCAAACTGCTTGTTGAGAAAGGGCATAGGATAAGCCCCCTTAAGGCCAAAAGAAGAAGGTACTGATCAAATCATGGGGTAGGGCTGAAGAAGCAAAGCTGGAAGAAAATCATACATGACAAGTTGGAGGTACCTGTGTGCACCTTATCTGAAATAGGTCTAAGGGAAAGTAAACCTGTGGAGAGGGCAAGGAGGATGCAGAAAGACAAGAAAAGTAAACCAAGGGGGCTGACAGAAGGGAAAAGCCCATACAGAAAAGCAGGCGCAGATGTAGCTCACCCGGCAGGCCAGCAGCACAGGCCCTGCAGCTGCCCCAGGCGGAGCAGCGCTGAGGTCAGGGCTCCCCAGGTGGCAGCTCACGCACCAGGGCTTCTCGCAAGCCAGAAGGTGCCGGTAGATGCTGGAATCCCACACGCTGCCAGCCCCAAGGCTAGCACTGAGCGATTCCACTGCTCCCTCCACCCCCACCTCAGCAGCTTCAGATCATCAGCTCTCTAATGCACTTGGTTTGCCCTCAGACACTCACACCCCTCAGCTGCATTCAGGTCACATTCCCAGGTTTATTGCTGTAGGAGGAAAGGTTAATGCTTACTGCTCCTTCAAGCAGCTAAAATGCTCCTGTACATGCACGTCCAGCTGCTGAAGCTGTAAGACCTGCAAATCGCCAAGCTGGTCATGGCAAATTTGCAGGAATAAGCAACATCAGCCCTCCCTCATGGGGCAAGTCTGCCTTGTGCTCTCCTCGGCCAGCAATGGCAGCAAGTGTCTTCACGTGGCTGGCAAGGAAGAGCCAGCCTCTCTTCTCCACACTGTTGTTCCTGGACTCTCCTACTGCCCCCTCCGGGAACCCCTCATTCATCCAGGTAGGGATTGCGCCGCCCGTGCACACCGTCCACCCTTCCCACATGCCTGCAGCATGGCCACCTGTGAGCACTGGGCACGCGGCCGGGAGGGACGCTGTTGTTTCCCCTCTCCCTAACCAGTTCTGCTGCAGAACATAAAGCTGTTCTTTCCTACTGTTTATTCTCTTTCTTTGTGACCTTAAGTATTTCTTCAGTTTGTCAAAAGTTTCTTCTGGTGAAGATTCTCAGTATAATAATAAAAGTTTCAGAAGGAACCATGAATGTCCCAAACCTACGAGAAGGATTTCCTGGCACAACACAAGAAATTTAAAACTATTTCGCTCAAGACAACAAGATGTCCTTACAGCTATTAATTTAAACAGCTCTCCAAGCTTTCCTCTAGTAGAGTTCATCTTCCCCTTTACTGTAAAAGGAATGGTTTTTAATTGAGCCCAAACCCACTTACATTCAGCAGCTGCTAATTAAGCCATAGTTGTCTCCTGCTGGCAACAATTATTCCTGGTAACCTTAATGAGCTTCCTACATTCCTTATTGTTATGAAAAGTTATATGAAACTTTATAAAGTTATATTTTCACTAATACTGCACAGCTCCCGGAGGAATTGCCTAATACTACACAGTTCCCAGAGGAATTACCTCTTGATCTGCCTTGTGTCTTGATCTGTACCTTTTTCATGGAGGTGCTCTTTTCCAAAGATTTTGAACTTTGGTTGTTCTTCCCGAACTCTCCCAGGGTCTTTGTTGGGTTTATTATGTAGGGGTTTTTTTCTGATTGTTTTTGGTTTACTTTTTTTTCCTCCCCTTTAAGTGACTTAGTCTGGAATATAACAGTGTAGTGAGAACAAGGACATGGTGCTGATCCAAACTCCAGGGGATTATGGGTTGTAGTTTGTTGCACCTCCTATACTGGCACTTGAGGTTTCATTTTGGTGCATGGGAAGAAAAAAAAATTAAAATCACAGACTGAACAGAATGAGCTGGATATGCTGAGTGCGATTTTCTGTTCTCTCTTGTGTCTTTGCATGGCCAAAATTCAATGAACATTACTATAAAACAAGTAACATTACCCAGGGAATAAAGAACTTCATTACATTTCAAAATAAATTGTCACTTAATTTTTTTCATATTTATTGTGTATGTACTCCCACTCTATTCCTCCTGAAGTCTCCTGCCATAGGTAATAGTGCACAGAAAGTATGTTAGTAGTTATGACTACTTCTCATGGCTTAATACTGATTTCAGGAACATCCAAGTTCATATAAACATGTGAACTTTGCTTCAGCATCACAAGCAATTACTATTAAACTCCACAGTCAAACAGAATTCTGTCCAGCAAGACACATCATGGAAAGCAGCCAACAACTCTAAACGCTAGTTCCTGATAAAGCCTTTAAAACACCAAAGCATTCAGTGACGATCCGATTTTTCTGACATTGAAAACACAGGAAGGCTTAGAAGCACCTTCCGCAAGAGCACTTAAAGCAGTTTAATGTAGAAGCTGTCATATAACCCACCCAGTCACTATCTCCTTTGCAGCGAATTCAAACACACACAAAAGCATAGCTGGCAGGATATTTTTGAACAAAAAAACTTTTTTTATTATTTTCAGGAACTGTTGATTTATTGAAACAATTTTTTTGTGAAAACATGCTATTTCTGGCAAAACACCGCAAGACTTAGGATGGAATTTCTGACTGAAACCAGCTAGTCAGACAAACTAGTTTTACAGCTTGGCAACTTGATGAGGGTGGCAGAGCAAGAATTAAACCTCACCTTGCCGAGCAGCTTTGCAAGCAGACCATCAGCTAGGGTGTTTTTTTTTTTTTCCTGGCTTTCTCTCCTGCCTTAGAATAAAAACAACTGTGAAAAGCAATGTTTTGTTGTCAAACGCCATTCCTGTTTTGTAGGCGGTTTGAGTTCAGAGGACTGGAGAAAATAACTAAAGTAGCAAAAAGTTATGAACTTGCCTACATTCACAGCAACCTCAAAGCGGCAATTGGAGCCTGGTGGTCTCTAGTCTGACCTCCCGCAGGGAGCGGGGCTATCACCAACACCGGAGCAGGTCCCCGTGGCTCTGCTGAGCCGAGTGCATCGCTGCAGAGGGAGATCTGACTGGGGGCAACCTGTCCTGGTGCTGCACAACCCTCCAAGTGATGCCGTATTCCCTAACATTCAACCTGAACTTCCCAAGTTGCAATTTGCGACTGTTGCTGGTTGTCATGATTTGCAGTTACCACAAAGGGCTTGGATGTCATCTTTGTAACTCTTCTTCAAGGATGGCTGCTATCAAATACCTCTTCCACCCCTTTCTCTTCAGACCCAATCAGCCCACTGGTAGCTCTCTCATAATCCAAGGAATGCTTCCCCTTGCTTTGACACCTGAAGACCCCAAAATACACTCTGCAATGCCAGAGCAAAAGGCTCTAGAGGAGATGCTGAACCAGGCTGCCACACCTTCTTGGTTAAGCTCTCTCACTACAAAAATTTAGTTTCATAATATGAGCTAGCACAATGCCGTTCTGTTTTGGAGAGCGGTGTGAACTCAGCTCTCAAAGAAATGTTTGTTCCAATTCAAGTGTTGGCGTTTTAAACAAGGCCCATTAAGTGCACCAAAAACACTACTGCAACATGAAGGCTAAAAATACAAACACAAAGTACCAGGAGTTACTCCCCAGAAGAAATGTTCCTGAAACAAAAGCCCAATCAAACGCCCCATTGCACAAGCGTAGTATCGCCACGCTGACAGTTTGGATTTTGAAGCCAGATACACAAAGCACAATTTAGCCTTCTTTTATTGCCAGAAGCTTACACCCACAAATAATTATGTCAACAGTAAGAGTGGCACTACTTGGACAATATCTGATCTGCCTCAAGAGGTAGGTCACAGTGTTACTGTTTGGTATAGATGCAATTATTTATGGGTGTAATTTTTACCCACAGATGCTAAAAAACAGAGCGAAACAAAAAAAATAGTTTATACCACACAATGTAAACTTGATAATAAACACGTGAACATGTGCAATATAGGTTCACATATACTGTTTAGGAACCTAATACTTTTCTCATTCTTGAACAATTTTGACATTTTAAATTTATAGCCTTCGTGTGGCAATAACCATGTCCTGAATATATTTTGCCTTTTTTTTTTTTAAATGCACTGAATGCTCAGACATCAGTAAAAAAAAAAAATTTATTTTCAATATAAAAGTGCCAAAATATCCACCAACATTGTAATCTATTTCAACAACCAGCTTACTCTAGTAATCAAAACTGCAAGCATCTTCATTCACATTTTTAAATCAAATTCCTTTCACACATTTCCACAGTAACCCGAGTCCCTCGAAAGTGGGAAATTGGCATTCCGGTTGGCTGCCGTAGTCCATATGTCCAAGTTCATGTAGGCACGGAAGGGGTTAAACCGCGGGTAGTATTCCTGCTTACACATCACCGCCTGGTTCTCCACATGGGTCGAATGCTGGGTCGTGGCACTGACAGGGCAGCAGTTTTCATAGACATCGCTCTGAGGTGCCCAGATGGAACCAAAAAGTCCAGACATGGGAGATAAGCTTCGGGTACTGGAGAGGTAGGGCTGCAGAGCAAGATAACATCACTATGACAAACTGTAAACATATTTTGCCAAATAAAATATGGAAACGCACTAAATGAGAAGAAGAACTATGCGGAGAGGAGTGTAGGGAGCACACAAGTAGAAAACTAAGCATGAGTTTACCAAGCAATACGGTTGGAGAAGAGACTGCAGCAGCACTAGTTCACACATACATTTCACTAAATGAAGCCATACAAACTCCTCTCTACATGGCTCCTATATCACTCTAACAGGAATACGATATTCACTTCTGGTCAGGTTAAGCAAAAGAGGAGATAAATGGAAGGCATGTGAAGAGCACCAAAAGGTAAAATTAAAGAGGTAAAATTAAAAGTGAAGGATGACTAAGAAATGACAAGAAAAAGGCCAAAGTTTGCGGCATTACTATGCACACCAATAGCAGAGAGAGACATTCAGTACAGAAAAAAAATATAATTAGGAGCTAGGGAATTTAGCTAGAAAATTTAGAAAGTTCATAAAGAACCTCCTAGAGAGCAAGATCTATGAGGAAGTCTCTCAGAGAAGGTCATGGAAGTCCTGGGACTTTTAAAACTGAATGAAACACTGAAATGTATTGTAGGG